GCTGCCGGCAGGCCAGCCGGAGGGAGCGGAGAGCCAGCGAGGGCCAGGGCCACACTGGCCTGGGCCAGCCGCACCCGCCCGAACACCCGCCCTCTCCCCAGACCTACGAGCACAATGAGTGGATCATCCACCTGGCCGGCAAGCTCCTGGCCAACGACGCCGACGCCCTGTCCCTGCTAGCCCTGAACCCCTTCGCGGGCAGGCCCCCCCCCAGGTGAGACCCCTCCGAGCGCGGTCCTCTAGACCATGGCTTTGGGCTGCCTCTTGGGCTTGTCCCACAGGCCCAGGCTCTGTTCTGGGCCCAGCCAAGCCCACGCATGGCTCTGCAGCCCCCGCCTTCCCACACGCACAGCCCCGCCAGCCCTCCTGCAGGCAGGGGCCTCGGGAAGGGTCTGGGCCACTGAGGGGCCGAGCTTGGGCTGGCCTTCCCTCCCCGCCTGTCACAGGCAAGAGGGTCCACAGGGACAGGCTGCCGGGCCATCTGCACGCTCCCTGGGCAGGCGGGACCCTCCCGGTCAGGAGCCAGAGGTCTTAGGAAGGCCCTGCGGCAGGCCGAGAGCAGGCAGGCCCAGTGGGGGCTGCACTGGCAACACCGCCACCGTGCAGGGGTGGGGCCGGAGGGGGTGAGCGTGGGTCTCTGGCGGCGATGACAGGAGGGAGGGTGAGGGCTTGTGCAGCTCTCCAGACCCATCCGGGGACGAGGGTGCAGAGTGGGGCAGACGGGTCCTGGGGCCTGCCGGGCGGCAGGCTCAGGGGAGACGCCCTGTCGGAGCTGCGGCCACGGGAGAGCCCTGGGAGGAGGGGCTGGGACTCGGACAGTGAGGGCGGGGTGGGCTCTGAGGCACCGCGCAGACCACACGGACCTCCCAGGGACCGCAGAGCACGGCGCCCACCCTGGAGGCTCGCCAGGCCCAGGCTGCTAGGGTCAGGTCGCTCGCAGCCATCGGGCCACGTGGGAAGGGAGAGCCGGCACATGCCCTGGCCTCGGGGTTTCTGGAACCCTTTCTAGCCTATCCCACGTGGGACTGGCCGAACCTCAGGCCTTCCAGAGCACCACCCCCCTGGAGCACGAGCTCCCTGGGCACAGCACGGCCTCTGGCCCCCGTCCCCACCTTTCCATGCAACGCATGGCACCCAGGTGTCCTGGCCGTGAGGGGCCGGGCCCGCAGTCTGCCCCAAGTGGAGCCGCCCTTCTGGGCTCAGAGCGGGCTGCCACTGCCCTGTCTGCACCCACAGCTGGAGGCTGCGGCGAGGACCCAGCCAGGCCTGTCTGCTGTTCGTCCTTTCTCCTCCCGTAGGTCTTTAAACAGGACCTTTGTCTGCAGCCGGGCCCCTAGGCCCCGCAGCCTTCTGAGCCCCCTCAGCCCGCGACCAGGGTCCCCCCTCCGGTGGAAGCACAGAGGTGCTCCTCCTTGCCCCAGGGGGCCCCTAGAGAGCCAGGAGGCTCACCCCACCCTGCGGTGATGAGGAGCACCTGGCAGTGGCAGGGTGGGACAGCACGGTGGCAGAGGCCACCAGGACCATAGGTGAAAGGAGACCCAGCGCCTCCTTCGAGATTTCCGAAGGGCTCGGTTTGCATGTGAACATCACTCGTGCTGAGAACGGGAAGGGCGCAGCGGGCAAAGGCGGCGGAGCCGAGCCAGGGCTCTCACAGTGCCCCAGTGAGCAGCGACGCCAGACTCCACGGACACAAGGCTCGGCGCAGAGATGGTTTAAAAGAGGCAGGTTTACCCTGGAAAGTGCGGCCGTGGGACAAGGCGCTCACCCGTGGTCTCGGCGGGAATGCAGGGGCCGGCAGACTGAGCGGGACGCAGGAGACAGAGCACCCGTGGGGAAGGACCTGGCAGTGCAAGTGGCGGGGTGACCCCAAGTGGGGACACGCCAGGAGTCAGCCGAGTTCTAAAACCCGAAGACGGGAAGTGGGCGCGGCAGAGGGGAAACGCCTTGTCTGCTGGGGCCGGGAGGAGGCGGCATCCTCAGCGCCCCGCCCCGCAAGGTGCCCTAGCACGCGGGGACCAGGACCGGGACAGCCTGACGGGGGAGGAGCAGGAGCCTTGGTTTCCAAGGTAGTTGCCGCAAAGTAACAGCCAGCGAGTTCTCCAGACAGAAAGGAGATGTCAGCAGGACTTCGGAACTTTCTTTAGGGAGGAGGAAAGTGGAAATACGAATAAACACGGGGGCCGGCAGGTGGTACAGAGGCTAAGGCCCTGGACTCCCACGTGGCCGACCATAGTTTGAGTCCCGGACCTGGACGCTTGAAAATGACATCGAGTGCGTGTGCGTGCGTGCCCAGATCCCGAGAGGAGAATGGAGAAGGGCTCGCAGCGCTACTGACAAATCAAAACGTGATTCTAAAACATGCACGTAACCCGGATGGAGGTGTGGGGAGGGAGGGTTTAAAAGAAAGCAAATGGAAAGGAGGAGGGAGCCGGACGGCGTCCCACGGTCAACCTAAGTAGTCTGAATACGGCTCAAAGGTCGAGGTGGCAGAGCTGGTTTAAAATCATGACCTACCGTGATGCAATCCGTAAGAATTTCTCTTCAAACATGGCGCTGTGGGCAGGTCGGAAGCGAAAGGATGCAGAAAAGACGCCTAAGTAAATACCGAGGGAGGGAAGCGGGGCGGGGCTGACCTCGGTGCGCACCGATGCATCAGTGTCCCGGGACAGGCTCAGGGGGCCACCTCGCACATGAGCAGACAGAGCTGAAGGCGAGGTCACAGAAGCATGGCTGGCAAGGTCACCTCCACAGCCCTGGCCACGACGCCTGAGCGAGTGGACGCAGCAGCGGGCACAGCCTGGCGAGCGGCCCAGGACACGCGGCGCTGGCTGAGTGAAGGGGCTGCGGCTGAGCCGTGCGGAGAGGGACAGCATGGAAGGCCTACGTTAGGAAAGAGAAGCCCTTGGGCACCGGCAGGTGGCGTGGTAGTTAAGGGCACTGGACTCCCACATGCCGAGTGAGGTTCAAGTCCCGGACCTGGCAGCTTGCTTTCTCTCTCTCTCTCTCTCTCTCTCTCTCGCGCGCGCGCGCGCGAACGCATGCTCTCACTCTCGCTCTGTCCTTCTCTAGTTACATTAAAAATAAGTAAATAAAGTTAAATAAAATAATTATTTTTAAAGAGGAAAGAGAAGCCCTTGGGCTGGTAATTGATGCTCAAGTTGACTTCAAGAACCAGAAAAAGAAATGAAGCCCAAAGCAGGGAGGACATAGTATGGGCAGAAACTAAAACTGAGAACACAATAGAGAAACCGTGAGACAGAGAGGCAGTTCTTCGAAAGTGCAGTCGGCCAAAGGAGAAGACAGGCCAGCCCCATAGCCTGGTGGTCACGGCAGCTGGGCCCACGCGGCTGGCCACACGACTCGAGGCGTGTGCAGCGTGGAAAGCACCCGGGCATGGTGAGCGCTTGCCCGGATCCCAGAGGGTAGGCGGAGGGGAGCCTGCTGCGGGATGCCCGCGCGGGGCCTCTCCCCTTCCTCGCTGGCTCTGGTCAGCACCCGCCCCCTCCAGCAACCAGTCATGGGACCAAGACAGGAAACGAGATTGCACGGCGGCACTGCACACCTGCAGAGGAGGCACGCATTTACGACTGGGTGCTGTAGATCTCTGAAAGGCCAGCGTGCCCCGCCTGGAATGAAGTAGTCCAGGCCCAGAGCCCTGTGAGCGTTGAAGACATTGGAATGTAACTTAAAACGCCCAAGACGAGCCGTCCGAGCCCAGGCAGTGTCTCTGGAGAATCCCTCCTGTGTTTAAAGAAGAGTTAACACTTACCTACTCAGTCCCTTCCAGAAAACAAAGAGAGGGAAGCAGTTCAGATTACTCCATGAAGCTAATGTCACCTGAGTCACACAAAGACATACAGAAAGAGGAGAGTTAGAAACCAGTGTCCCTCATGTACAGGCAAAACTTTTAACAAACTATTAGTGCGTAGAGTTCAGTTATGTGTAAAAGGAATCACACTCCACTGCCGAGTAAGGCGTGCGCAGGGCTGCAGGCGGGGCCGTATTTGAAGGCCGCTCGCTACGCCCCACCGTGGGACCAGCCGACAAAGAACACTGGCGGGACGGGACCGCGGAGGGCGCAGTTACGTCTCAGACTCCCGCGCAGGCGCCCGCAGCTCGTTCCAGACCCCGCGGCCTAAAAAGCTCATGCCGGGTACATGTGTGTGCATGCTCAAAATCCTGAGGAGACGAGACGGGACTGTGGTGTGGACAACCCCTGGGGGTGAGTTCTCACTTTCTGTCTCTCTGGCAACGCACACGCCCTATAGCAAAAATCTCTTTCTGAAAGAAGAAGAAGGAGAAGGAGAAGGAGAAGAAGAAGAAGAAGAAGAAGAAGAAGAGGAGGAAGAAGAAAGCTCACGGGCGGACGTCAGCGGCTGCAGAAAAGCACTTGGCAGAGTTAATATCCGCATATGCTGAGGCTCAGGAGGGCACTGTCTACCGGAGGCCTGCGGCCCACACTGTGCTGAGTGGTGGAAGGCTGCACCCCCTCCCGCATGGCCGGCCCTGCACCGTGCTGTACCGCCTCTGCTGCGAGGCGCGGGGGCCAGGGGGGCCGAGGTCCGTGGGGAAGAAAACCACCTGTTTGGCAGCTGACACGGTCACGTCGGGAGTCCCGCGTATCCTGTGTGGCTAACAAGTAGGTTCCGCCACGTCTGAGGACGCAGACCAACCCGCGATGTACCGTCTGCACACACAACGCCAACTCGCCGGCTTCGGGCGGCCCCCGTCGGTGGCGGCGAAGGCCAGCCTCCCCAGCGAGCTCTGCCTGGCAGCTCCTCGGGCCTCACTGCGCTGACCTCTGCCTGCTCCACTGGCCCCCAGCCCCTGTCGGTGCCGCTCATGCAGGGGCCACCTGTAGTCGCCCTGCCTAGCCACGCCCCCACACCAGCGACCAGGTGAGGGTGCCCCTCACCCTCCTGACTTGGGCACCAGCTGTGGACATTGGCCTGGTGGACAGCTCGTGTGGCCCCTGCAGCTCTCGCAGAGCCCGCCCGCTCCCTCCTGGGCCACACGACCTGGGAGCCGGCCCTGCTGTGCTCTCAGGCTTGGAGTCACTCTGGGCGCGGGTCAGCCTGAGCATCTGCTTGTGCTGGGGCGGCCCCAGTAGCCCCTTCATCTGGGGCCTGGGCTCAGGAGGCAGAGGCGGGAGGGTTCGAAGATGTCGGGGCAAGAGGGGCTGCGGGTCCCAGGAGCACCTGACCTGGACCCAGGGCGTGCACCTGGCCCTTCGAGCAGCCACAGCCCCTCAGGCCCGAGCCCCTGGGGACAAGCAGGGTCCCAAGCGGCTGCAGGCTGACCTGTCCCCACAGGTGGGTCCGCGGAGAGCACTACAGGTACAAGTTCAGCCGCCCCGGGGGCCAGCGCGCCGCGGAAGGCCAGTGGTGGGTGCGGAAGAGGATCGGCCCCTACTTCCCCCCGCTCAGCCTGGAGGATCTGAGGACCTACTTCAGGTCCAGGGGCTGGCCGCTCCCCGAGCCCGTGTAGACGTGCACCTGCAATAAAGACCTGGAGGACCAGCCCTGCCTGCGTGGAGTCTCGGCCCCACGGAGAGACGAGGTGAGGGGACAGCCCGGGCAGGACGTGGGGCTGTGCTGTCCCACGCCCAGGGGCTCGTGGGTCCTCCTGCCTATGCCCTGGCTTCTATCTTGGCCAGGACACCCTTGCCCCCACCTGCCTCTGGCCTCCCAGGGAGCTGTGGTCCCCACCAGGCCTCTCTCCCCTCCCGCCACTCCCCACCCTTGGGGCCCACGGCCCATGGTCCAGACAGGGCCCTCGCTTGGACAACTCAGCTGAGCCGTGGCCGTGGCCTGTCCTGGGCCTCCCTGGCCATGGGCGGCTGGCATTGACCCTCCTCAGCTTGCCCACCCGCGGCCATGTGTCCACCACGTGGTTGAGCAGCTCCAAGCCTCCCTGCCCTCCACTGCTGAGCGCCCTCACCCGGGGTGGGCGTCAGGGCGTCTTCACCCATCCCAGAGCCCACCCGTCCCACATGCACACGCCTGAGCTCATGCTCACATGGCGACCCACGTGAGCTACCCGTGTGCGCACGCCCCTGCAGGTGGCCTATTTGCCCTGTCCCCAGACCACAAGCAGCTGTGAGGTGTGGGCTCCTCAGGAGCCACCGCCCCAGCCCCCAGCAAGCGCAGCCCTCCCCTCCCCGCCCCAGGCTACAGAGGCAAGGCACCCCGGTCGCTCCTGCAGGGCTGAGGTCCCTCCCCACCCCGGCTGTCCTGGGCCCCTCGGGCCTGCCTGCAAAGCACAGGCCCTAGAGAAGACAGGAGCTGCTGAAGGCCCTCGGGTGGCCCCCTCTTCCCCCAAGCCAGGCAGGACAAGGGGCGTGCCCGCCCCCTCCATCCGACCATCCACTGCCAGGCCACACCGTGGAGGGCTCCAGAGGGAACGAGGTGGTGCACACCACGGAGGCACCAGGGTGAGCTCACGCGTGGTCTGTGCACAGCCCACCGGGGCATCCTGCCCAAGTGCAGACAGAGAGACCGTGTTCTGGCTCCAGGGACAGAGCTCCTGTGTCTTCAGGGACACACGGCCTCACAGGGCCAGTGGAGCCAGCAAGTCTGCCCGCAGCAGCCGGGAGTGACAGCTTCCGGCGGCCGGCCCCACCCCTCGCTCTGGTGGGTGGGGCAGAGCCACAAGGACACTTGGGCAGCTCAGGCAGCAGCAGGCCTCACGGTAACACCAACGGCCCTTTACCAGCGGTGCTCCTGCCAGGCCTCTGCACGGCAGGGGAGACCTAGGCCAGGACCCGGCCGCCAGCCTCTCCAGGAGGGACTCAGCACCCCACCGTGACCCTGCCCTAGCCGCGGACCCCTTCTCCCGGGACCTCAGGGTGGGGCTGCAGGTTCCAGGAGAGGTAGGGAAGAGCTGGACAGCGGCAGGAAGGGGCATGGGCCCCCAAGTGCAGCCACGGGGCTCCCAGCTCAGAGACGCCCAGGAACCGGGCAGCCCCTGCCATCACCCGCCAGGGCTGGGCAGGAGGGAAGAGTGGAGTTCCAGCAGAGCCTCCGGAGGGGCTGCCCGCTCTGCTCCAAGGCCGCCAATCTTTCTGAGAGGACAGCCACATGAAGGTAGCCAGGGGCCCTTTTTGGTTGGCTGGTTGGTTTTTTTAAGTTTATTGTTATTTTTTTAAATCTGATCAGAGAAAGAGACACAGAGAGAGTGAGAAGGAGGGAAGGGGAGAAAGCCAGTTGCCAGGTCTGGGACTCGAACCTGGGTCACCCGCCATGCCACCTGCCCGCCCTGGTTTGTTTAAGTACCAGAGGGTGAGTGTGCTTGAGAGAAAGTACCCCAGTGGGGTGCAGCCATGCCGCGGCCCCCTCTCCCCTCCTTCCTGTTGGGGTCTGGGACACCCACGTGCACCCAGCATGCTTTTCAAGCCACCAGGGCCAGTATCCAAACCACGGCCGGGCCCTGGGGGCCAGCTTCCTTAGCCAGTAGACTGTGGGGCCGGCCCGTAACGCTTTTGTGAAGATAGGACTTTCTGGGGCCAGCAAGTGCCAAGGGGGCTAAGGCGCTGGACTTCACGTGGCCAACTTTGCGGTCAAGGTGCTGGGCTCCTTAACCGTGGTCAGCTGTGGCTGAGCACGGTTCAAGTCCCAGACCCAGTGGCTTGAAACTCACCCCAGGCCCTTGTGCGTGCATACCCAAAATCCCAAGAGGAAAATTATGGCCAAGGGATTGCGGTGCGGCCGTTCGAATCCCCAGGGGTGGAGGACACTGTCTTGCTGTCTCTCCGGCACGTGCATGCGTCCTGTAACAAAAAAGCTCTTTAAGAGATTTTTGCTATAGTGTGCCTGTGCCTGCCAGAGGGACAGCGAGCGAGGAATCACCCCGTCCCGGGGTGGCCACACTGCAGTCCCTTCTCCTCTATCCTCCTTGGGATCTTGGGTATACAACACATGCGTGCCCAGTGTGAGGTGTTTTTTTTTTTTTCTTTTTTTGGAGAGGTTTTTGCTATAGGACGCGTGCGCTCACCAGACAGTCAGAGAGACAGAAAGCGAGAAATCACCCCCTGGGGGGATGGCCACGCCACAATCTCTTCTCCTCCATTCTCCTCTCGGGATCCTGGGCACGCAAGCACATGCACCTGGCGTTGAGTTTAAGCCATCAGTCCGGGACTCGAACCATGGTCGACTACGTGGGAGTCCAGCGACATAGCCATTACGTTAACTGCTAGTCCCCGCGCTCAGTGTGAGTTTTAAGCCACCGGATCCAGGACTCGAACCACAGTCAACTACGTGGGAATCCATTATGCCTTCTACTGGTCCCAAAAACTCTCAAAAGAAAAGAAGGAAAAACACTGCAGGTGCGTGTGCGTGTGCGCCGGCACCCTGAAAGGAGAGGGGAGGGGAGAGGAGGGGAAGGGGGTCGTGCACAGCCGCCCCAGGGCGAGTCCCCACTCCGTCTCACTGCCCCTCCAGTTGGTGTACGTGCCCTGTAGCAAAACTGAAATAGGTGCGCGTCCACACACACGGCTCTTTCTCACGAGTGGATGAGAAGGCAGCACAGCGGCCACGCAGCTGGGTACTCGCAGCCCTCCCACCACACCACGGCACGGGGCCTGCCTGGCCAGGCTGGCGGGCCAACAGGCTGGAGCCCCCGAACGGCTCAGCACACCGTGTGCAGGAGGTGGTGGCTCGGCCACCTCTAATTCCAGAACATTCCTCCACCAGGCAGTCCGCCTCCCGGCCTCTGGTGCCCACGAGCCACGCTGCGTGTGCTTGCCTGCTCACGGAGTCACATGGCATGTGGCCGTGGCCTTGAGGCCCAGCCTCAGTGATGCATGGACACATTGGGCACTCCCGGGGACAAGTGCCATGCCGTCACGGGGATGGCCACGCTGTGGCCGCCTGTTGTCACTCACGACTTCTGAAGTATCTAAAAGTGTCTGTGAGAGGCCTGGTGACCTTTCTGGGGATCCCTGGCTGGGACACAGGAGAGGTCAGCGAGGGGAGGGGACAGGCCCCTCTCGGCCCGGGAACAGTGGGGAGGCGAGGCCGGGCTGCCCAGGGATGAGTGGGCGGAAGTGTGGGAGGGCGGCTGAGCATGGGCAGCAGTCAGGCTGGGTGCGGGCGGCCCTCGCCCCCTCCCTGGAGGGGCCCTTTCTCGCTGCCCTGTGCTCGCCCACTCCCGAAGGTACCCGTTCAACAGTGACCACTCGCCAGGCGCATCCGGCAGTGCTGCCCTGGGGACCCAGTGTCCCCAGCTCGGACTCAGGACCCTGCCATGTCACCCGTGCACTGATCAGCAGTGGGAGGTGCCCTGCCCCATCCCACGGGCATCCTCCTGGTGACAGGCTCTCCTACAGGCTCAGCATCCAGGGAGCTGCTGCCCGGCGGCACCCCGGGCACAGGGAGGTCGGCCCTGACATGCAGCCTGTGTTCCCCGTGTCCTGGCAGTGGCTGCCAGCCCGGGCAGGGTCCTGGGGCGCAGCTGTCCCCACGCATGGGCCAAAAGTGCCCTCAGTCCCTCCTCAGCCTGCCCTGAGTAGGGGCACACCCGGTGTGGAAGGCCGGACTCTACGGGCTTCAGGGGCCACAGCGAGTGGGGGTGGTGGTGGTCGGTGGACCCAGGGACTCCAGAACCCTCACGTCTGGCCCGGGATGCCCTGCCTGCCTCAGGATGTGCCTGAGCTCAGCTGGGTGTGGTCACTGTGGGTCCTCCTGAGCAGCTTGCCCCAGGCATGTCACCGTGGCCGGAGACCTGGGGGGCTGGAGTGAAGCTCACAGGCCTCTGTGCTCTGACCGTGTCGGACCCCACCAGCCCTGCCCCGCAGCCCCCACACCAGATCCCAGGGGGCCCCCAGCCCCATTGCTCCTTAGAGAATGGCCCCACGCCA